TTTTTTGAGACAGAGTCTCGCTTAGTTGCCCAGGCTGGAGTGCAGTGGCGCGATCTCGGCTCACTGCAAGCTCCGCCTCCCGGGTTCAAGCAATTCTTGTGATCCAGCCTCCAGAGTAGCTGGGACTACAGGCATGCGCCACCACACCTGGCTAATTATTTTTTTGTATTTTTAGCAGAGACAGGGTTTCACCATGTTGGCCAGGTTGATCTTGAACTCCTGACTTCAGGTGATCTGCCTGCCTCAGCCTCCCAAAGCACTAGGATTACAGGCGTGAGCCACCACGCCCAGCCATGTTTCCTCCCTTTATATGGCTTTTTAAATAAATCACTTACGTTGCCAAACGTTCTCATTGGGCCATAACATTGTACAGTCAATCTTATAAGTCAACGGCATTTCAGGTAGTGACTACTCACTCCTTAGAGTCCTGCAATGACTCCCCTCCCCTTTTATTAATATTTCCCAATAACTCCCTTTTAATTATCAATTAGGCTGGGTGCAGTGGCTCATGCCTGTAATCCGAACACTTCGGGAGGTCAAGGCTGGTGGATCACTTGAGGTCAGAAGTTTGAGACCAGCTTGGCCAACCCGGTGAAACCCCGTCTCTACTAAAAATATAAAAATTAGCTGGGCTATACAGCAGCTTTTTGTACATGGAACCTATTATACTTCAAGGGAGTACAGGCAATGGTAAGTCAAATAGGATGCTATGCCTCTTCTCTAAAGGGCCTAGGCCGGTATGGTGGGTGGCTCACACTTATAATCCCAGCATTTTGGGAGGCTGAGGCAGGAGGATGCTTGAGCCTAGGAGGTCAAGACCAGTATGGGCAATATAGGGAGACCCTGTCTCTACAAAAACATACAAAATTAGCCAAGTGTGGTGGCACACACCTGTAGCCCCAGCTACTTGGGAGGCTAAGGTGGGAGGATCGCTTGAGCCTGGGAGGCAGAGGCTGCAATGACCTGAGATGGTGCCACTGTGCTCCAGCCTGGGTGACACACACACACACACAAAAACGATGCATCTTCAAATATATGTGACCTAAATGGCATCCATACAGAATAAGCGGTTTTTAAAAAGAATGATGTAGAACTAAAAATTCTAATATAGTAAGATATTCAAGATATGCTAAATACAGAAATCAAATTGCAGGTCATTAGCATAACATGAGCCCATCTGAGTGTGTGTGTGTGTGCGCGCGCGCGCATGTGATGGGGGAAATTCTTTGCAATGATTACCTCTACAGAGTGGGACTAAGAGGTAAGGGGGTAAAGTTATACCATACTATTCTTTATAGTTTGAATTTATCATTTTGTGTATTACTTTCATAATGAAAAAGCTAGTATAAAATTTTCACTTAATTGAAAGGATTATTAGTGAACATATGCAATGTTTTAAAGCAAACTGAATAATTACAATGTTCTATCACTATGCCAGTTCTTACCAATTATACATCACTGGCCCAATAAAAATTTTTTGTAGCTAAAGAAAGTCTAAGAGATTTTTCTGGTAAATTTAAGGATCTATAATTACAAAGCTGTATAAGTTCATTTCCATAAATTTGAAGACTACTCTAAAAAACCCTGACTTCAGGTAAAAATAGTTAAGTGTAATTTATAGTCAATATATTAATGAAGGCCAGGCATGGTGGCTCATGCCTGTAATCTCAACACTTTGGGAGGCCAAGGCAGGAGGACTGCTTGAGGCCAGGAGTTCAAGACCAGCTTGGGCAACAAGGTAAGACCCTGTCTCTACAAAAAAAAAAAAACAAAAACATTAGCAGAGCTTCGTGGTGTGTGCCTGTAATCCTAGCTACTTGGGAGGCTGAGGCAGGAGGATCACTTGAGCCAGTGAGCTATAACTGTGGCACTGCACTCCAGCCTGGGTGACAGAGGGAGATACAATTCTTGTTTTGTTTTCTTTGAGATGGGGGTCTCACTTCATCACTTAGGCTATAGTGTAGTGGCATGATCACAGCTCACTGCAGCCTCCAACCCTGGGCTCAAGTAATCACTGCCATGCCTGGCTAATTTTTTTAACTTTTTGTACAAATGGCGGGGGGGGGGGGGGGTCTCACTTTGCTGCCCAGGCTGGTCTTGAACTCCTGACCTGGCCTAAAGTGATCCTCCCATTTTGGCCTCCCAAAGTGCTGGGTTTACAAGCATGAACAACTGTGCCTTATCTATATATATAATTTTTTGCATCATTTGCAGTAAGAGTCACAAATGCACAGATTTGGAAGAAACCTTAAAAGTCACCTAGCCTTGGGCCAGGTGCAGTGGCTCAAGTCTGTAATCCCAGCACTTTGGGAGGCCAAGGTGGGTGGATCACAAGGTTAGGAGTTCAAGACCAGCCTGGCGAACATAGTAAAACCCTGTCTCTACCAAAAATAGAAAAATTAGCCTGGCATGATGGTCTGCACTTGTAGTTCCAGCTACTTAGGAGGCTGAGGCAGGAGAATCGCTTGAACCCGGGAGGCGGAGGTTGCAGTGAGCCGAGATCAGGCCATTTAACTCCAGCCTGGGCAACAGAGTGAGACTCTGTCTCAAAACAAAAAAGTCACCTAGTCTTGGCCAGGCACGGTGGCTCACACCTGTACTCCTAGCACTTTGGAAGATGAGACAGGAGGATCACTTGAGCCCAGGAGTTCAAGACCAGCCTGGCAGGCAACATAGTGAGACCTCATTTATATATTTTATTTTATTTAAAAAAAAATTTTGTTTTGAGACAGAGTCTTGCTCTGTCACCCAGGCTGGAGTGCAGCAACCTGATCTCAGTTCATTGCAACCCCACCTCCCAGGTTTAAGCAATTCTCATGTCTTAGACTCCCAAGTAGCTGGGATTACAGGTGTGTGCCACCATGCCTGGCTAATTTTGTATTTTTAGTAGAGATGGGGTTTCACCATGTTGGCCAGGCTGGTCTCGATCTTCTGGCCTCAAGTGATCTGCCTGCCTCAGCCTCCCAAAGTGTTGGGATTACAGACATGAGCCACCGTGCCCAGCTTCATTTCTATATTTAAAAAAAAAAAAGAAAAAAAGGGCATCTAGTCCAACTTTCCTACCCAAACACCTAGACATACGAAAAATAAATAAATAAATAAATAAATAAAAACCAATAGCAGCCTGCTGAGGAAAGAACTGAAGTTGAGTACCAGTACTAGGAATATATATGACAACCAGAAATGTCTCCTCCTCAAAATGGAGACATCTGGTAATCATTCACTAAAAAGCATTTTGGCGTAATATAACAAGTTGCTCAGGTAAGTTTTAAACAAGTCATTGACTTAATTTTCTGGTTTCAAAGTTTTCAATTTGTTTCAAACCAAGAGAAATTAGACCATGATGCAGACTGAGTTTAATGAACAAAAATCTCTGTATAAAAAACATTTAAACCTTATCAAATGCTTTAAACACACACACACACACGCACACGCACACACACACACAAATCCAAATCCAATACACGATCTTAAAACATTATCTTTGTTTACCTCAACATAACCTGTAAAAGTATTTCCAGATAAAACTTTACAAGTGAAGAAAGAAAACCCATGATGTTACACTTACACACACACACAATCATTCTTAAGGAAGAACAAAAACGTGGTAAGAGTGTGAACAGGAAGGGAATGCATCTTTTTTTGTAAAGCTTATATTTAAAAACACAGCATGAGTAAAATAACTTCCTATACCAAGAGAAGATGCAGAGAGAGGAAACAGAAAGCAGGGATGAGACTAACTCATTAATAAATAGTTTGAGAATGTCATTCAAGAACAGTAAATTTGGGGAGTTACAGATAATCCCCAGTTGTCACCACCTCAAATTCTTTGATTCCGATAACTAATGACAATTAAAAAGCATATATGTGTTCATTTTTTGTAGGTCTTGATTTGTTCATTATTATTTAGGTGTGCTTTGTCTCTTTCAGTGGTTAATTCCTCAGTTCATACTCAGTGTTATGTCCTAGTTACCAGAAGGGCCACAGTAACAAGTGAAGTGAACACAGGTTATAAAGGGTGGCATTGGTGGTATGAGGAGGTGAATAAGGAGGGCCAGGTTGCCTGGTTTGGATTTCAGCATCACTGCCTGCCAGCTCCTGGCACCTAGCAAGCTACTTAGCCACTGTGTGTCTCCATTTCCTCATCTTCGGTTGGGGGTCACTATAGCACCTACTTCAGATAGTGTGATTAGGGGGTTAAACAAGATGGTCGGTCATTCAAAAAATTTATCACACTGCCTGGTCAATAGATGTTAACTGAAAATATTAGTTGTGGTATTACAGGGGAACCAAAAGGAAAATTCTGTCTCTGTATTTCTCCTCACTGATAAAGTTTTCAGGGACAAACTATGGCAAAAAGCAGAGATACCAGTACATTTGAGACCAGTACAAAGAGATTGAAGATCTAGTTTTATGAATATAGATACCCATTTTTATATAAGAAAAAAATTACATGGCTCCATATCACAAAATTTAAGATCTTCCTGTTAAACATCACACAATTCCCATCATCATTATGCTCTACATACACTCTAAATTATGTAGAGTTTCTACTGATATTCCACAACAACAAGTCCAGAAATTTAAACTAAGAAACAGCTGCAGAACTGCATGTTGGACAGTAATCTGTGTGTGCCACAAGAGCTTGGGCCAACACAAAGGACCAGGATTCTGCCTCCATGGCCTGGACTCCTCCACACATAGTCAGATGAGTCAGGTTCTTGCAGACCTTCAAATCTCCATTCATATCCCCCTTTGAGAGGGCCATTTTCAGAGGTGAAGGAAGCAGCAGCCACTGGGCACGAAACACCGCACTCCTACTTCAGTATAATATGATAGCTATCGTTGGTTTCTGCTGTTAAAAAGAGAGAGCGAATCATCTTTAGTCACCTCCAAAACACAGCAGGAGAAACAAAGTATGGTAAGATTCTTGTGAGAAGGGGAAAAAAGGGAGGTGGAGGTTGCAGTGAGCCGAGATCACGCCATTGCACTCTAGCTTGGGCAACAAGAGTGAAATTCCGTCTTAAAAAAGAAAAACAAAAAGAGAAAGGGGAAAAAAAAAAGAGCAGGACAAACAGCAGCATACTTACTCATTAGCACAGATTCCTTATAATAAATATGCATTACAAAAACAACATGCCTCAATTTCCTCATCTGCAATGGAAGATGGAAGAGAATGGCAAAAAGCCGGGCCAGGCACGGTGGCTCATGCCTGTAATCCCAGCACTTTGGGAGTCCGAGGTGGGTGGATCACTTGAGGTCAGGAGTTCGAGACCAGCCTGGCCAACATGGTGAAACCCTGTCTCTACTAAAAATACAAAAATTAGCTAGACAAGGTGGCATGTGCCTGTAATCCCAGTTACTTGGGAGGCTGAGGGAAGAGAATCACTTGAACTCGGGAGGTGAAGGTTGCGTGCCACTGCACTCCAGCCTGGGCAACAGATCAAAACTCTGTCTCAAAAAAAAAAAAAAAGGCTGACTTACAAAAAGGAACAATCTCTAATACTGTCACTTTCTTTACCCAAATATGGTTACTTTCCCTATCACTCCTCAAAGAAGTATGTACTTTGCCTAGTAGTAGTAAAGCTGTTAAACTACTTAGAGAAAGATGTTTGTCTTACTATTACCTTTCATTGTGTCCAGAATAAAACATGCTTCCTCCTGAAAGTTCTGTATCATCTGAAAAAAGCAAGAAAATTTGTGATTATTTAAATGAAAAATAACCCCTTTATATTCCTGTGTCCCTAAGGACTACATCCAGCGGGATTTAGATGGGAGGCTTTACAGGTCTCAAATAATGTATTTCTTGAGTATCTAGGATCGTAAAAGTTTTTTCCTCCCCTCCGCTGTTTGGTTTTTAAATATTAAAAAACTAAGCAGATTAGAACAGTTGTCTTAAAGCCTGGTATGCATTTCCCTGGGTTAACCCCAAGACTCTCCAAGGAGCACACAGACACTAATATACGCATACAGGAGAACTGACTTCCATGTCTTCAACTCCCATATGTGCTCTTTCCTAAAACCTCTTTAATTTTCCTTCCTCACTGTCCCTTCTCAAACTCCCTTCTCCCATTTTACAAGATAAAGGCATGAGTTTCACCCTCCCAGGGTCCTAATAAGGTGCTCTGGCCCATGATGTGAAAGCTTCAGGTGGCAAAGTGGAATAGCAAAGGTGAACTCTAATATTAAACTAGGCAACAGACCCTTTTATGAGCCACATGGTTTCTAACTCTTTCCTTTCACCAGAATTAAAGAGTAACCTAATCACAAATTGTCATGTGATAAAGGATTCCAAATGATTTTTTGATAATATCACTATGTAATTTCTGGTATATAATTCTGAAGTATAATCGAATGACATTATCATTACAGAATTCCATCCATTCCTATCTATCAATTTATGTGACTCAAGTCCCTCAGCATTTATATCTAGAGGTGAAAAACAGAATGGAATTGCTGCTGAAATCCTATGTCATTCTAGCAATCAATAGGCAGTATTCACCTACAAAGGAAATAATTATGTGCAAAGGTACGACTAGGGATTGAAACAATTTCATCCAACTCATTCATAGATATACCTGTAATAATATTTTTCTTAATTTTTTTTTTTTTTTCTGAGACGGAGTTTCACTCTTGTTACCCAGGCTGGAGTGCAATGGCCCCATCTCGGCTCACCACAACCTCCACCTCCTGGGTTCAAGGGATCCTCCTGCCTCAGCCTCCTGGGTAGCTGGGATTACAAGCACGTGCCACCACACCCAACTAATTTTGTATTTTCAGTAGAGACGGGGTTTCTACATGTTGGCCAGTCTGGTTTCAAACTCTCGACCTCAGGTGATCCGCCTGCCTCAGCCTCCCAAAGTGCTGGGATTACAGGTATGAGCCACTGCGCCTGGCCTTTTTTTTTTTTTGGATGGAGTCTCGCTGTGTCACCCAGGCAGTGGCACAATCTCGGCTGACTGCAACCTCTGCCTCTCAGGTTCAAGCAATTCTCTGCCTCAGCCTCCCAAGTAGCTGGGATTATAGGCACCTGCCACCATGCCCAGCTAATTTTTGTATTTTTAGTAGAGACGGGGTTTCACCATCTTGGCTAGGCTGGTCTTGAACTTCTGACCTTGTGATCCACCTGTCTCAGCCTCCCAAAGTGCTGGGATTACAGGCATAAGTCACTGCACCTGGCCGGCCCTCTTAATGTTTAATAATTACTTATTAAAACAAGTAGCATATTTACATTATTTTAATCAACTGTATAATTATGATGATTCCATTCATAATTTTTAAATTTTTATTTAAAAACTTTGTTTCAAACAAATATAGTAGGATAATCAATAAAAGATGTTTGTGCATAAAAATATGTTACGGTAAGATGGCCAGGCGTGGTGGCTCACATCTGTAATCCCAGCACTTTGGCAGGCTGAGGTGGGTTGATCACTTGAGGCCAGGAGTTCAAGACCAGACTGGCCACATGGTGAAACCCAGCCTCTACTAAAAATACAAAAATTAGCCGGGCATGGTGGTGGGCGCCTGTAATACCAGCTACTTGGGAGGCCGAGGCAGGATAATCGTTTGAACCTCGGAGGCAGAGGTTGCAGTGAGCTGAGATCACACCACGGCACAATGGCCTGGGTGACAAAGTGAGACTCTGTGTCAAAAAAAAAAAAAGTTACAGTAAGATAAAATTCAATGGGGGAAGTAAATGAAAATAAGAGTTCCAGGACACAGAGGAATAGTACAAGAATTCTAACTTAAAGGAAAGCACAGTCGTGTTTTGTTTTTTTTTAATGGATGGTGGTGGTATTAAATCATTTTTGCATTAAGATTACATGGGATGCAATTAGAATAATGATGTAACCATTTCACTTAGAAATGTCATTATATATGCCCAGAAATGACATCTTTTACAACTATTTAAACTTTAACAAAAAATTTTAAGTCAGTCTGAAAATGTGCATGGGAATATGTGGTTTTTAAAATATTTCAGGGCGGGGCGTGGTGGCTCACATCTGTAATCCCACCACTTTGGGAGGGTGAGGCGGGCAGATCACTTGAGGTCAGGAGTTTGAGACCAGCCTGGCCAACATGGCAAAACCCCATCTCTACTAAAAATACATAAATTAGCCGGGCGTGGTGGCACGCGCCTATAATTCCCACTATTTGGGAGGCTGAGGGAGGAGAATCACTTGAACCCAGGAAGTGGAGGTTACAGTGAGCTGAGACTGGGCCATTGCACTCTGGCCTGGGCAACAGAGAGAGACTGTTAAAAGAAAAAAAATTAGGAGGAAAGCAAGCAAAAAGGTATGAAACCCTCTGATCTAGAAAACAGAACACTCTGCCCCAGGAGAACTGCTCTTGCTCCACGTGCTGACAAATTAACCATCATCTGGTAATTCAACTGTACTGAAAAATCTACCTCATCACTGATGAGCACATGAATTCCTGTTGGCCCCTGCTTGTAAATCTGGCTGATCTGGCAAGGGGAAATGCTGAAAAGCTGAGCAATTTTTTCTGTCAATTCAACAGCTGTCAGTTCTTCTAGATAGATGGCATGGTAAACTGCAAAAGGGAGAGAGCAACAGGAGTCAGTACAAAGTTTGTCTGCTCTTACACATAACTTGATCACTAGGAATGTCCACTTTTCTGAAGGACTCAGAAATCAGACTGCCTAAGCTCAAACCCTGGCTCAACCACTTGCAGCTGTGTGACCTAGGGCACGTTATTTAACATCCCTAGGCCTCATTTTTCTCTTATAAATACTAGAGATAACAGTAAAATCCTCCACAAAGAGGAGATATTAGTTGTAAATATTAAAGCATATAAAAAGTGTTAAGAATAGCACCTGGCTGGGCATGGTGGTTCACACCTATAGTCCCAGCAATTTGGGAGGCTGAGGCAGGGAGATCACTTCAGCCCAGGAGTTCAAGACCAGCCTGGGCAACATAGGGAGATCCCATCTCTACAATAAATAAAACAATTAGGTAGACGTGGGGTGCACACCTATAGTTCTAGTTACTCGGGAGGCTGACGGGAGAGAATCACTTGAGCCCAGGTGGTCAAGGTTGCAATGAGTCATGATTGCACCACAGTACTTCAGCCTGGGTAACTGAGTGAGACTCTGTCTCAAAAAAAAAAAAAAAAGGCCGGGCGTGGTGGCTCAAGCCTGTAATCCTAGCACTTTGGAAGGCCGAGGCGGGCAGATCACGAGGTCAGGAGATCGAGACCATCCTGGCTAACCCAGTGAAACCCCGTCTCTACTAAAAATACAAAAAACTAGCTGGGCGAGGTGGCGGGCGCCTGTAGTCCCAGCTACTTGGGAGGCTGAGGCAGGAGAATGGCGTGAACCCAGGAGGCGGAGCTTGCAGTGAGC